ATCTGTGTCCCATTTAGCCCACGTAAACCTGCCTAAATGTTCTCCAGTTCTTTCACCCTCCTCCCCCTTCTTTGTGTATTGCCCCCCAATACCCAAACTGTCGTGTGTCTATCCCCTACCCTGTGCTCTACTGCCCATAAGTATAGCTGAAATTCATCAGATTGTAGCAATTTACACTTGTTTGCTTTATCAAAATTTTTTTGTCTTCCTCTAGTCAAGTTCTTATCTTCAAATCATTGAAGCTAGGTCAAATGGGTATCATCTGTAAGTTTGGGCATTGTTGTGCATCTCCTCTCACTTCATATAAGCTGGATGCTAGGCTAGGTCCTTGTCCATGGGCCCAGAGTCCCCAGTCTCACCATGCTTCAGATCAACCAGCCTTTTTTCTTCTCTCTCTCATTTCCAGGTCTAAGGGAGCCTATGGAACATGATCAAACTCAGACCATATCTTCATTGCTGCCTTTCCCCCACTTCCACTCACCAGTAGACCAGCATGGTCACCACCAGCAAGCCTTTATGCCTTCTCATGTGATCCCTTTGAGTTTCAGTCTTGGAGGGGTTTGTCATGAAGGGACTTGATTGCTTGCTTTGATGGCTTCCCGGCCAATGACTTGCTTGTTCTTGTAGTAGCCAGTCAGACTGCTGTTTTTGTTTTTGACTTTTCCTACAGGTCTTTCTATTGAGAAGCATCTTCTGTTCCTCTAGCTGCGCTAGGCTTGTCTGCTTTTCCTTTCAAATGCTATCGTCCCACCTCAGAAGGTTCTAGATGGGGATCAGGATTCCACCTAAGGTCTTATACACTCTAAATGCTCTGCAAAAAGCCTCTTTCACTGGGCAAGTTCTAGCACCCCTTTTAGATATTGCAGTCAGTTATAGGCTGAAGATGGGCTTATTAGCTTTCTATAATCATGTTTCCCAGTATCCCTTTCTGTCCAACTCACGTGTGTATTTTACAATAGTAGGCAGCAGATACCAATATTCATAAGACAGTCAAGCATCTTAACATTATTTCCCATCTTTTACCCATTCAGACTATACCTTGATCCTTGTATCACAAAGCTCTATTGTTCCAAGGATGAGCATACATCAATATTTAACTCTGTCCCATTTAGCCTATGCAAACCGGTGTAAGTGTTCTCCCATCTACTTTGTTCTTCTATCCCCCTCCCCCTTCTTGTTTATTGTCCTCCCCAACACCCAAACTATGATGTGTCTGCCTCCTACCCTGTTTTCTACCACCCCTTCCCTCCCACAAAGAATTTTTTTTTTCCTTTTAGTATGTGTATCTTTTTTTTAAAGCAGTTACAGTAGTACCCTCATTCTTTAAATTACACTTGCACCTTTGTCAAAAATCAGTTGGTCATACTTGTGTGGGTCTATTTCTGGGCTGTCTATCCTGTTCCATTGATCTATATGTCTGTATCTTCTCTAATTACTACAATGTCTTGATTACTGTTGTCTTAAAAATAATAATAAAAATCATTTTAGCCAAGCAATAGTTAGATATTTAGGGGGTACAACAACAATAGTAAGGTATACTCACCATGGAGTGATCAGTCACTAAAGATCAAAAGGGCAAAATTTACCTAAGGACAAAATTGAGAAGAGATGGCCAAGAGTTTGGAATGGAAATAGGAGTCACAGGGAGGAAGTAGGATAACTGTTATTGCGTGGAGAGTGTTGCAGTTATTGAGACGAAACAAATTATATGATTTGTTGAATGTAAAACTTCTATTCTTCCCTGTAAAACTTCACTTAATTCACAATAAAAAGTTAAAAAAGCAAAAAGAACTTAAAAATATACAGTAAGCCTTAAAACTGAGTAGAGTGATTCTTCTCAATTGTTTTCAAGATTATTTTAATACTTCTAGTTTCTTTTTTGTGGTGCTACAGGATAATGCACTGGACCACAAGGTCAGTTTCAGCTACAAGGTCTGCAATTCAAACCCTCCTGCCGCTCCTTGGAAATCCTATACAGGGTTGCTATGAGTTTCTTTTTAGCCATTTATTATTAGAATAAGTATAAGGCACTCTGGTAGCGTAGTGCTTACGAATCAGGCTGCAAACTGCAAGGTCAGCAGTTTGAAACTACAAGCTGCTCCATGGGAGAACGATGAAGCTTTCTGCTCCCTTAAAGATTTACAGCCTCAGAAACCCTGTACAGGGTCGCTTTGAGTTGGAACCGACTCCATGGCACATAACCACCACTACCATATAACAATACTTTTATCATTTCAACATTTTTACAAGTATAATTCATTTACATTAATTATATTCATCATGTTGTGCAACCCATCACTACTTTCAATTTATAAATTTTTCTATCCCTCTTAACCAGAGGAGTATGCAAAGTCAGTTTGAACACCAAGGTTGGTGGTTCAAGCTCACCAGTCGCTCCTTAGAAACCCTCTCCAGGGTCGCTATGGGTCAGAACCAACTCGACGGCACTAAACAACAACAACATCACACTAGAACTCCATCTTTTCTTTTAAAAGTAGCAAAAACTTATATAAAACTCATCTGTTGTTTTAACGGAGTCCTGGTGTGGCGCTATGGGTTAATGCACCAGAGTGCAAAGTCTTTCGAACTGCAAGTTTGGCAGTTCAAGCTCACCAGCTGCTCCTTGGAAACACTATACAGGGTCGCTGTGGGTCAAAATCGACTTGACGGCACTTAATAACAACAACTGTTTTAATTCAGCATTCTTTAGAATCTTTGGCAAATGAAAGTTTCTTTGATAATATATTACTTTATTAATCAAAGTTCACATCAAAGTATAATATCTGATTAAATATCATTATGTTGTTGCATGTAGCATCAAGTTGGTTCTGAGTCTTAACAACCTTGTATAGAGTTTCCAAGAGCGGCTGGTGAGTTTGTACTACTGACCTTGAGGTTAGTAGTCTAGTTCTTATCCTACAGTGCTACATCAGGACTCAAATCTCATTATGGAAGAATTTAATTTTAAGAATTAATATTATTTTGTCAGCTGCCAAATTTTGTATATGTATCTTGGAAAGCAGAGAAAACCAGAAAGATGTATACCTGTGCTTTATTGACTACTCAAAGACTTTCAATTGTGTGGATCATTACAAGCTATGGACAGCATTGTGAAGTATGAGTATTCTGGAACACTTAATTGTACTCTTGAGGAATCTGTACCTGGACCAAGAGGCAATTGTTTGAACAGAAACATGGGAACAATGAATGGTTTCAAATTAAGAAAGGTGTGCAACAGGGTTGTATTCTTTCACCATACTTACTCAACCTGGATGCTGAACAAATAATCCAAGAAGGTGGGTTATATGAAGAAAACATGGCATCAGGATTGGAGGAAGACTCATTAACCTGCGATATGCAGATGATAACAACCTTGCTTGCTGAAAGTGAAGAGGACTTAAAATACTTACTGATAAAGATCAAAGAGCATAGCCTTTGGCATGGATTGCATCTCAATGTAAATAAAATCCTCACCACTGGACCAATAAACAACATTCTTATCAATGGAGAAAAGATTGAAGTTGTCAAGGATTTCATTCTTTTTGGATCAACTATCTACACTCAAGGAAGCAGCAGTCAAGCAATCCAGTGACGTATTCCATTAGGCAGATCTGCTGCACAAGACCTTTTTAAAGTGTTGAAGAGCAAATATGTCAGCTTGAGGACTAATGTGCGCCTGACCTAAGCTATGGTATTTTCAGTAACCTCATATGCATGTGAAAGCTGGACAGTGAATAAGGAAGACTGTAGAAGAATTGATGCTTTTGACTTATGGTGCTGGAGGAGAATATTGAAAGTGCACGGGCTGCCAAAAGAATCAACAGATCTATGTTGGAAGAAGTACAGCCAGAGTGCTCCTTGGAGGCCAGGATGGCCAAACTTCGTCTCTCATATTTTGGACATATTGTCAGGAGGGACCAGTCACTGGAGAAGGATATCATGTTTGGTAAGGTGGAAGGTCGGAGAAAAAGAGGTAGACCCTTTTGAGATGGATTGGCAAAGTGGCAGCATCAGTGGGCTCATGTGTGGCTACAATTGTGAGGTTGGCCCATGACCGGACAGTCTTTCATTCTGTTGTACATAGGGTCGCTATGAGTTGGTACCGACTCAATGGCACCTGACAACAACAACAGATATATATATATATGTATATATATATATCTGTTGTTGTTATGTGCCATGGAGTCAGTTCTGACTCATAGTGACCATACACAGAGTTTCCAAGGCTGTAAATCTTTCCCGGAATAGAAAGCCTCATCTTTCTCCCATGGAACAGCTGGTAGTTTCAAACTGCTGACCCTGATGTTAGCAGCCCGATTCATAACCACTATGCTACCAGAGCTCATGCTACAATATGTGTGTGTATATATATAATATGTATATATATGTTATATTTCCTGTGTATCTCTGATATACTTGTTTGTAAACTTACGTATTGCGGTGTAGTATATTATTTAATGTTTCTTCTAGCCTTTAATTTTGTAAACTCCTACTAAAAGACTTTTACCTGATAGATCTGGATAAGAGAAGGTGGAGGAAAATTATATCTTTCACTTTTAAGTTTTTGTTAACAAGATTGTGATTGTAAACATTTAGAAATCAAACGAGGCTATTTGGTCAATGTTACCATCCTGCTGGGTTTAAAATGAGTCATCTCAGAAGTAGGAGAAGGGAATATCACTTACTACTATGAAAAAAGATAATCCAGGAGTGGAGTGCGTCCTTTAGATCCTGCACATTGAACCTTCGTGACCCAGGGACAGAAAGCTGTGCCACCAGAAGAGTAGCAGAGGAGCAGCCAAAGAACCAAGAGCCAGAACGTGATACACAAAGTTGGACTTCCTAGCCCACGGAGCAAATAAAACTGAGTGACTTTGGACAGGAGACTTGCCTGGAGATTGGGGAACCTCCAGGAACTATTTTACATTTATTTAAAAGGAAGTTTAAATGCTAAGTGAGTGTATTAACAGTATGCTGTGCTCCTTTTGTTTTCATTTTAGATGGTGTTATCTGAAAAAGTTAGCCAGCTGATGGAATGGACCAATAAAAGACCTGTAATAAGAATGAATGGAGATAAGTTCCGTCGCCTTGTTAAAGCACCACCAAGAAACTACTCTGTTATTGTCATGTTCACTGCTCTCCAACTTCATAGACAGTGTATTGTGTGCAAGTATGAACTTTCTTTTTACTTCAATGATTATAATCTCCTCCCTGCAACAGCAGTTATCTTCCTTCCTCCCTGTGGTTCCCCATTTACATCTATTTCACAAATGAGCAAAGCAAAAATATTTGATGTACACATTAAAAAATAATTATATATATATATATATATTCATATATTCATTCATTTAAATGTCCAAAGGGCACATTCTGCAAGCTAGCCTCCTGTCTGCACACACACAGCCTTACTCAGTTCATAGGCCTGGAGCCATAGCTGATTTGTCTCTCCATGCCACCACTTTTTCCACTGTCTCCACTTTTTTAAGTAGGGATCTCAGGCTCCACTCATGCACTTCCTTCTTGATGATTGTGGGATCATGTTCCTGAAATGAAAGATTAACTACTTCCCCCTTTTAGTTATACGTCTTCTACAATTACTGTTGTGACAACCACAATTAATCCTGCTGACAGTTACTCAGAATTAAATCATTAAATTCTATCGCCATCATCGCCCATCCCTTTCATCGGATTCATCTGGAAAATAGAAAAACTTCTCAATGGAGAGTCTACCTTACCCCCATAGCTTTGAAACTAGCATACTCATGACAGCTTCTAATCTAACCACTTCATGCCTTTATAATCCCCACCTTTTTATTTAAGCTTTTACATTAAAAAAAAATCCTAGACTAATTAAACAATATCTCAATGTATAGACATCATCCTATGGCAAACATGTTTAATAAGTGAAAGCAAATTAGACCTCTACATCCTGATTTTCTGTAGACTGAACAATAAGATAACATCTACACAGAACCCTTATAATGAAATACACTTGCTCAGAGTTTTCATACAAGCTATGTTGGTTATCAAACTACATATTTCCTAGTATGAAATAACAGTAGAGTTAGTAATTGCAGTTCCCACATAAGATTTTAATTTCAAGTGCCTTACTGTGATAACTAACATTTTGACAGTTTCATTGACATTTGCAAACTGCTCCCCTATTAATATACTCAGGAGTAAAAGCTGAATATGAAAAGATAGATTAATAATGAAAATGAAGTTACAAAGAAAAAAGAGGTGAAGGAATATCATTGCAATAGAAAAGTCAAACAAGTCTAGGCATTTGGTTAGGAGAGAACAGATGACTAAGGATTTCCCAAATCAAGAGTTTATAAGTTTAGTACAACACAGATACTTCACATAGAAGTCGAAACTGAAAGGTCTAGCAACTGTGATTTTAGGCCTTAAATAGTACCAACTCTTCTAATCAAAAAAGGCCAAAGCAGTTAAGATTGTATTACTTGACTTTATTTTACAATAGGTTGGTGGGCATAAGCAAAGTTAACAAAGTTGACAATTATCTTCACTCAGAACATTTTTAATAGTGCACATTAAAGATAAAGTATCTTACAAATTGTTCTGCAATCTAAATATACAAATAGCTTGGAAAACAACGGTAAGAAAACAAAAGCAATGTAAATAGACAGATTAAAATGATTAGAACAGTACAGGTTTGATATCACTCTCATTTTATAGTTTTCTTACTCCATCATCAGTGACAGAAATCTTCAGCTGACTTCAGTGCTCCAGATTTAAAGAAGTACCTTTTCTTTCTGGTTTCATTTCACCTTCCTGATCCATCCAGTATTCTCTAATATCCATTCAGACTTCCACTTTAAAGTCCTGGACATTGACATACCTCATTTTCCCAATTGAAAACATGTTATCTCTGCTGCTGCTGCTCTGCTTAGAAGATGATAAGGTTCTTGAAGTTTCACCAGTGTTTTGTTTCAACTCTTTAACTTTTTGTTTACTTCACTGTCAGATGAGCTTGAAGAAAAAAGTTCCTTTGTTTTAGGCATTGCTCTGCTCCAGTTTCCAGCTCATTTGCTCACAACTTTACCCCCTATTTTTTTTGTTTTTATTGTGAATTAAGTGACAGTTTACAGGCGAGAACATCAGTTTTATACTCATCCTGTCATATTCTGTTTCATTGCGATGATTACAATCCCCTCCATGCATCGTCGTTCAACAGTATTTGCTCTATTCCCTCTGTTTGTTTGTTTGTTTGTTTTTTTTGGAATGTACACCAAAACACTCAAGAATATACAGTCATTCAAACACCCAAAGGGCATACTCTGAAAGCCGAAAGCCTACCCCTCTACCCCCACCGCCAGCACACAGCCCTTCACCCTCCATGAGTTTTGAGTCCCCAGCTGCCCCATCTCTCTATGTCATCATCTCTGCCTCCCATCTCTGACATTGCCACATCTCTGAATAGGGTCCAACATTCCACTCCCTCTCTTCTCCCTTGATGGTCCCAGGGTCCTCTGCTTTTGGACTGCAAGATCAACCACTCCCCTCTTTTTGCTACAAAACCTCTATCTTTACAATTGCAACAATCGCAATCATCCTTTTTTTTTTTTTTT